CTTCTAACTCTCTGTGACACGGAATATGCTGCACGACGAAACATAATAATGTTATTATTTAGATGCTTGTGTTAGCTTCTTTATTTATTTGATTTTTTTTTTCATCCCACGTCTTGCGGAACATTATTTACATAATTAATTTCTTTCACCAGTAATGTTAAGGGTTTCGACAAACAGCCATCATATTCCAGCATATATTTCATTTTAAATACGATAAATTTGCTGCATCGATCCATCGTACCACTACCAGTTGTTGTCACGGTTAGGCTTGTCTAATTATTAATTATTTACACTTTTATCTAACTAGATACTAATTAGTATCTAGGTTTTATCCCACGGTTCGTCTGTTAATGTGCAGTAATGTTTTAGTGGAATAAGTCGCTGTATTTGTCTTGATACTTTTTACTGGTTGCTGGGGTTCGATTCTTTCTTTAAGTGTAGTTCAGTTTTATGGCAGCAGATAGCAGCCAAAACTTATGATAAAAACTAGTAAGTAATAAATAATGAAGTTATAAAAAAAAACGTGTCTATTAACCGTGACAACAACCGATATCCACAATCTTACCGTGTTCTTCATCATTCCAGTTCGGTAAAGTTCAGATGTGATGTTATTAATTAAACCGCTTATCGCTGCTTGAGTTCCACATTTATTAGGAAGTACTAACAATCTAGACTGTCCTGGAGAGGCCCCTAGTGACACAGCGGATTTACAACGCTAGAATCCGGGTTTTGATACCCATGGTGGCCAGAGCACAGATAGCCCATCGAGTAGCTTTGTGCTTAATTACAAACAAACAAACTGATCTGGAGAGAAAGAAACGTGAGAATTGTTCAGAACAACGTCATTTATCTTTTCCTGGCAGTTTTAAAGTTCATTTGTTCAACTTTGCCTTCAGTTACCCTTTCTTTATTGTGTTTCTCGGTACATGTATGATGCCGAAAGTAACATAAGGATATTAACACTATAATAAAGACGATTCCCAGCAACTAAAATCTAAGAGTAGGGGAAGAATATTTAGTTTCTTTCTGGACAGTTTTCGTATTTTCAGTTTCAACATAGTCGTTACTATTTCTTATGATAGTGTCCATTTCAGTTTCTTTAGCTAATTAGCAATGTAAGTAAATTGACCACTTATGTTATTATTATATCGTGTGTATTAATTGAAATAAAGTCGTTTTATTGGATAATAAAAATATCAACACTACGACCAGGAAAGGTTGTTTTCCTAGAAGACATAGATCTAACGAAACATCACGAGGCTAGGAGATTCCAAGTTTATTTTTTGAAGTTGAAATTTCTCTAATCTTCGGATGGCCAAGGGTACTTTATATAGAAACAATGAGTCTTATGTACACATATAAACTGACACCCATTTTTATTCTCATGAGATGAAAAGTCAGATCAGAAAAAACGCTTTCTCCATCAGGATATTACATTACCAATTTAATGCTTGAAATTGTCATGTTTTCAACTTACAAAATCCAGTTATTAAACAACGTTAAAAATATTAAAGTTCATTGGATGTTTGTTTGTTTGTCATTAAGCGCAAAGCTACATATTGGGTTATCTGTGTCCTACCCACCACGAGTATCGAAACCCAGTTTCTAGCGTTGTAAATCCGTAGATATGCCGCTCTGCCATTGGGTGGGGGTGGGGGGGGGGGTCATAGTTCATTGTTCGTGGGCACTGAGTGTCTCACATCTTGTTTTAGCCTCGAGTGTGTGTGTGTAATAAGAGTGACGATTAGATCCCACTATTCAATCAGACAAGAGTAGCCCAAGAATTGACGGTGGATGTTATTAATTAGCTGCCTTTCCTCGAGTCAATCAGCTCTTGTGTAGCTTTACGCGAAATTTGGGATCGAACAAACTATTGGACCAGGCTTAGCCTAATGGTTATGGTACCGATCTGCAGATTGAAAAGTCCAAGGTTCGAGTTGTGGTACCACTGAACTTTCACCTTTGTGTTTGTCATTAATGTGACAGTCCTGTTATTCTGGTCAAAGCCCTTGTGGTGACGTGTGTTGCTGACTACCGCTCTTTAGTGAATATCTCAAAAGTAAGGACATCCAAACGTGAACACTAGGGGTCTCTGTCATGGCCTTCTAGCCCACGTGCCATACGCTGTATGCCTTTGAGGTTGAAATTTCCAATTAACTTGAATAAATGCCCCCAGTGGCACAGCGGTATGTCTGCAGACTTACAACGCTAGAATCCGATTTTCGATACCCGTGGTGGGCAGAGCACAGATAGCCCATTGTGTAGCTTTGTGCTTAATTACAAACAAACAAACTTGAATAAATAAATCTCGACACACAATAGAGGAATTTAGTTCTTATTTATTTAGGTAACTTTTTAGGTCACTTTTTGTGATTAAGCACAAAGCTACCCAACGGGCTATCTGTGCTCTGCCCACCACGGGTATCGAAACCCTGATTCTAGCGTTGTAAGTCCGCAGACATACCGCTGTGCTACTGGTGGGCTGTAATTATTGAGAATTATCAGTCTGCATAAGCTGTAAACTGTTTATTAATCCAATCCTCAAGAAAAGCCGATGGTAAGTTTGAGGGCTACAAATCGGTGGGCACATATCATATAGTCCCGTGTAGTCTCGCGCTTAAACATAAGGAAACAAACCAAAAAACGGTTTTGAATTAATACTTAGAAAAACTGTATGTTTCAGATTTGAGCTTTGAAAGCTTTTTTATTTTACGTATTTTGTTGGAAACGCTTCCGTTAAGCATTAGTTCTGTTTTCTGTAAGATGCTACAGTGAGGCTTTGCGTTATGAACGAAATATGTCTATAGAAAAAAACTTCAAACTGTCATGTTTGCCACCAGTCAAGATAACCTGCTTCTGATTGATCTTAATCTGACAAAAAGTATTAAACACTATTAACTGTTGTTGTTTTTTTGGCATTTCTAAAGCTCAGCTGTTAGTTGACAAATATCTGGTTATTAAAGACAGTGAATGATATGTTAAAGCGAAAGAACGAAAATTTCTTGTGTTAGTAAAGCTCCGTGAAGCTTGCTTTATTGATAGAAATCAATTAATTCGTTTGTTAACTAATGAATCTCACAGTTAGAACTACGTAACGATCGCCCACTGAAATCAGACCATACGATAAATACAATATTACATGCACACTCTATACAAACATAAATATAAGTGGATATCGTGCTTCTTGACTTTTTTATATATATATAAATAGCAATAAATGTTAAACACACCATTAAAATGTACAATTCTGTAAATAATAATTAATTTCAGTATTAACGAAACAGGGACGTACCCGAGAAAACGTGTTGTGTCCACAACAACAAGTATACATAGCTGTACATTTGCGAATTCATCGTTCCACTGATCTTTTCTTGAACAAGTTTCATTTTCACTTATACGTCTGCCTCATTGTACAATATAGCGAAACGTTTCGGATGTTGTCAGATAGTCTGAAAGATCAACTAGCGAAATATTTTGGACGTTGTCAGATAGTCGGAAACATGACAAAGCATTTTAGACGTTGACAGGTAGTCTGAAAGATAAACTTGACGGAACGCACTTTTGGTTCAACAGTTCCCTGCTGAGAGTAACAAGCAGTCTGTTGATTAAAGTACAAATGATATATTTTTATTCTCTGTGGAGTGTTATCAAATACCACTTGGGGCGCATTACCTCATTGGCCAATGACGTTGTTGCCTGAAACACGTGCCTTGGTCTACCTATTTTCATCATTTGCGTGAAGTAGTTCTAAGAAAATTATACAATTTCTGGTTGTATTTATTTCATTTTATAATAGATTATAGCTAAAATCATATCTTCAACATACTAAAAACAAACTATTTTTGAATCACGGTTTATCTCAACTTTATTCAGCGCTATTGTTTATATACAGTTTCTTTCTCAAGATAAGTTATAAAGTATGAAACGTATTAATACAGAAAGCTGTAGGTTTATCCGGTTTAGGCCTAATTTCACGACATAATATATATCGTTTGGAGTAAGAATAGGTTAGTTAATATATTATGATATTGAAATCCTGTTATTATACTGATTGTATAGTATAGTTAAGACGAAGTTTAAATTAATTAAGTTTATTGTCTGAATTTAAAAATATATAGTCTTCTTTTGCCAATTGTTAAAATAAAAAGTCTTTTAGTTATATTTCTTAATAGTATAAATATATACTATGTTGGTGTTGGGCTTAGGAATCTTCTACAGTAGGTGTGTGTGACTTGTTAGTGATAAATAGCAAGCACTTAACTCGTTTTCAAAATAACATATATATTCGGAACAAGTGAAACGTATGTACAATACATTCTTCAACCTATAGATATTATAAGCATATCATAAATACTATATATGTCAAAAGTCCACTTAGGCCTATACAGTTACTTTAGAATTTCAGTTGACAAGCCGAACTATCTTCTCTATGGTTATCGACCTATTATTCTGTGTGTGATTCGCTTACAAGTTACGATTGTGGCGCGAGTTACCGTAATCGTTTGGTCTTCTTTCTTCTAAATATACTCTGTTTCTTTTCTCAAAGTGCACTCAGGCTGATTCAATTACTTTAGAACCACGCTTTGACGGAATAATTATTCTTCTTATCTCCTTTTCTACTGTTAATCTTACTTTAACATATTAAACGTTAGGCCTATGTCAATAGTTAGGCCTATCACTTCTACGGTAGTTTACTTATCCTTTTGTAGCTTTCTTTTATTATTATCTGTTTGCTGCTTCCCGCTCTTCTCACACTATTTACATCTTTATCACCTAATCGTCTGTCTACACTCTATATTCTTGATGTCAATGTATTGCACGCGACATTCAATAGTCTCAACATCAATGAATTATTAACAAATCCTCCTATAATCGTCTGCTTTTAACTCTTATTATGACAAAAACTAAACAATAATAAAATATTCACTCGCAAAAACAAATCAGTCAATAATATCTAAAGTAAACAGTCTTTTATATCATAACACTTACGTATGCACATAATGATATGTTACATACAAAATATATAGCAATTTCAAACTTGTATATAACAAAAATTGATGCAATACGAACTTAACTAAATTAAATTTAACTAAATATTACATATTTAAAAAACGAAGAGAGTGAAAGACTGTCATTTAAATTAGGCTTAGTGCACGTTTGTTATTTGTTATGCTAACTGTATGCGGGAAGAGAATATTATGTATGATTAAACCAGCTTATACGAAGCTTTAAACATAAACCTTAAGACCTGGGATGCTCAGGTACATAACACAATTTCTGCATAAAATCGTTAATCCTAGCATCATCGATGGGGTAAATGACTTCATCGCTTTTTTAAACACGTTTTTAAAAACTATTTTCATGCATCATATTGCTTGTAGGTCCATTACTTTGTTGGCTACGAGATATCTAATGACATGAATCATAAAAACGAGTTTAAACGAAAATATTGCGATTAACATCTCTAATTACTGTTGGAGTCTATTTGAACCCATAATTATTTTAACATAGAAAATTAATAATTTCGTCTTATATTTTCATTATATAATACCGAGTGTTGAAACAGGGGGAGGGAAACGTAGAATTATATAATATTATACAATATACAGCAATCTGTGAGTTATCTATAGAAAGTTATCTATTCTATTTAAGCCTTCTTTTATATTTCTTCTCTAATGATTTTTCAGCGCTTAAAATTAGTTCCAGTTCCAAGGGTAAGGTGGCAGCAAAATTAATGATAATCTTGATAAGTTATTTCAAAGAAAATTGGTAATTAAGATCGATCAAACCGGAGTAAGGCAAACCCTTTCTTTGGAGGTCAAATATAATGTGTAGTAACTTCCTCAAAATTATGCTCTACATTTTCTGCCCGAACATCTACCTGATCACTGATTACTGAAATTTTGCAAAGGCTTTTTTTTTCTTTTTTTTTACAATTTGACTGTAGTACTGTGTTATCGATGTAGCGTTTAGAACCGCGTTAGACTGAGCTGATAGTCTCCGATGGTACGTTTATGGTCTTACAATACTAAAATCCGGGGCTCGATTCCCCTCGTTGAACATAACGCACATAACCCTTTGTGTAGCCTTGCGATAAAACAACAGCAACAAAGATTTAGCCGTTCTATTTATAGCGTGCTCACCCTTTCATCCGTGGGGGCGTTATATGTGAAGTTCAATCTCAACATTCATTTGAAAAGAGTTGGCGCTGTGCGGTGTTGGCCTCTAGTCTATCACGTAAAGATAAGTAACCCTCGGGTAGCTTTGTGCGAAACTTAGCAACCAAACAAACAATCTTAAGCATTGTTAATGTCCTTTTAATTTATTAATTTTACTTTCAATTATATCGAAAATGTAAGAACTCAGTTGCTTTAAGATGAAAAACAATAAAAAAAATCAGGAATCTATCACAACAACACATCCTCAGAAAATAAAGTATATATCTGTGTGTGGGGGAGGGGGTACTTGGTATAATCAAACAATATCTTATCCTGCAGATTATCCTCACTTAGGATATGATTTAACGTCGTCGAACGGATAAACGACATAGAAAATACTTGAATTGTGCACGTGGAACATGCATCAATATTTCATGACCAGCAAACGAAATGTTAAAGGTGAGATATAAATCAAATG